CATAGCCATGCTTATATGCATGAGTCATAAATGCATAACCCACAATACTTGACACTGAAAGGAACGTTTAAAACGTGCGATATGTTTTGAAAAACATTATTGCATGCTACTCCCGGTTAAAAGGCTTTTTTTTTGGAAACAAAATCGGCGTTTTTATGCTAGCAAAGTTTAAACATCTTTGTTTTTTTGGGCCAAGGAGTGAAGGGAGCTGTTTCCCATCGCACTTATGGATAGTCCCAAAAAAGTTGAGGGGTTGGCACTATGAAAATAATTCGGTCACTCACAGTCGCTCTGTGGCACCGCTCATGTCTACCAGTGCCCGCCGCCGCCGCCGCCGCCCGTAACCTTGCACCGTCGCCCGGCGCCCGGCGGGTGCAAATTAGGGTGTGTCACTAGAAACAGATCAATTGCTTCCGCTGATTTTCCTTGTCCCTGTGTCTATGGAAGCCCATTGGTGCAGTTCTTTTTTCCATGCATCGAAAATTCGATCGGCGCCGGCTAAAAGAATTTCGGGATTTATCGTGGCGCCCGGCGTTGCAGTCTCCATGTTTGGCGTAATGCGTTTGATGACACTAACACCAGCCGCGCGCGTCTTCGCCTGTTAGCGTTGACAGACGCTGTCAATACGGATGTGAGCAATGCAAACGAGGCAGTATCCTCTTTTTAGACAACGGTTACACAGAAAAGATGCATCTTTGCCATTCAATAGCAAACTGAATTCAACTGAATTAGCATTTGCCTACCTTGTATGGTTCAGGGGACCGATTTTCTTCCAGGCCTCCTTTGAGGAGATGTTGCCCGTCCGCGCGGCTCTGGTGAGCTGATACAGCAGGAGTTGGTCGCTGCTGTGGTCGGCGATGATGTCCGGCAGATCCAGCTCTGGGCCTCTCACCAGTCACCGGTCGGAACTTCACGGGAGAAAGACGGTGCACGGAGCAGCCAGCTGCCTTACCCAACGGCCCCGTGAATGATCCGGGTCCACTGGTTTTGCCATCCAAGTTCTGGAACACTTCCCTGAGTACAAGCTCATTCGAGTGCAGCTGGCAAGCAAACCAATGGACCGTTTTCTCTTCAATAAGCTCCAAAAGTCGGCATATTCCTCCAGATCTGCCCGTATTGACAGCCGCGCCATCGCAGCCTATTAGCCAGAGTGGCAGCGTTTATCAGCTCATTGGCTTGATCAATGGCTTTACCCGAAATTGGCGTAAAGTTGGAGAGATATTCGTTTCCTGGTTCTGCTACCTTAGCCACATGTTCCTCAGCTGCCGTGTCGCCGCCTCGGCCCGTGCTAGTTTGATCATGCCTTCCATCAAAGTACATGGCCTTGAGCTCAGCGTCGCTGTGTTGTTGGTCCCGCGCGGCCACTGTACTTTGTCTCATCCGGCATCTTTCTCTCTATACTTTTTCGGGTCGACCAGCAATTCTGCTTTGCCGCTCGCTACGCGACCGATATCCATCTGAAAACCGTTGATGACGGCCGTCACAGCACGGTTGGATAAACCATACCTGTCAGTCAGCTGCCAGTGCAGTGTTTGTCATATCATCATCGTTTGAGTCTTTGATGCATTTCTTCATCTCAAATCATCTTCAGTGCATCACTTGTGACGTCTTCATTGCTGTCGTTGGTGTCGGTCGTTGCCGACGAGTCTACCTGGCCTGTCTCGTCGATATTGACGCCGTTGGAATAGGTACGGAGGTGGGAAGGACCAGCTTGACCCACGTCGCCCCTCCCCTCGTTCCGCTCCCGTCTCATTCTAAGGCTCGCAGTCTCACGCCGTTTCCTTGTCTCCTCGTAGTCCACACCACCCAGTCTCATCTTCCGAACTCCTCTCTGGTCTCGAAGGAATGCTATTTCCGCTGGCGGTACCCGGTTTGAAAGTGGACAGGTACAGCTTCGCCGATCTTTACAGCGGCAGCGGGCGATGTCACAAAGCTTACGAAACAGACTCGCTTCAGAAAGACTTTGTTTCGCTTGTCCCTCCTGCATTCTTTTGGGCACCTTATTCGATCGGCGAAATCTTTCGTAGATTTGCTTTACCTTCCGAACCACATTGTGCATTTGTTTCGTTGGTATGCCCTCACTCGACCACATTGCAACCACAGCTTCCGCTGCTTCACGTAAACATGCAGTGACTGTCCGCTCACTTTTTCTATCCCCTGCCAAGAGTCTCACATAGTTCAATACAACCCTGTTTGTAGGCAGCTGATTTACCTACCGGCAACACACTGGGAGACCCGATAACAAAATGTTTCGCTTTGCTTCGCAACGGCATCACTGCGGCACGGATAGTCCGATTCGATTGCGCCACACGCATTTCTGCTCACGCCGCAGCTGAAACCAGACTGACCCACGTTCTTCACAAGCTCGTGTGCCTCGGGGAGACAGCACAATGCACATGACTCAAAAGCCGACACATTGTGTTGCCGACGGAGAAAGATACCCGAGACCCCGCTCACGTTTCCCTCTGTCCATCCAGCGTGATCCTATTATATGGATCATCTGTGGGTCCCTGAATGGCCCCAACACATTAAGATAGCAGTATGTTTCGTCCGACGACCATTTAAACAAGAAATAGCAATCGAATTTTAACCGTCAAACGGTGTTGGCCGCAACAGGCCGACGGCGAGTCATATGGCTGGTGTTATCGCTACGGTACGCATTGTGTTCAGTATGGAGACTTCAACGCCGGGCGCCATGGGAAATGTCGAAATTGATTGGGCCCGCGCCGCCTGAATTTTCGGTGCAGCGAAAAAAGAACGGTGCCAATGGGCTTCAATGAACCCAGGGACGAGGAATATCCGCGGAAGCGCTTGATCTGAGACAAAAATATTAGATATGACACACCCTAGACTGCAAATAAATTGGTCCGCCAAAAAAGCCCGGTACCCTTTTTCTGAGCGCGCGGCGCGCCGCAGCGGCGGCCGCTGTAGCTGTGCCGGGACTCGGTGTCAGAGACCGTACCGGTCGGCGGCGGCAGCGGGCGGGCCGGGCTGGGCCGGGGACAGAGGGCCGCGCGCCTACCGCGCCGGGTGCTACGGTGGGCCGACGGGCCGGAGTTACCGGTGCTCCAGTGGTGTATTGAGACATTTGCGATTGTGGGAAAGTGGAATTTTGAGCTCAAAAGTGGCTGAATCGTGGTGAAGAACTGTGCAGAGCGAGGCGCTGATATATGGTGGTAGGTTGAATATTTGCGTGTGCTTTGTTTTCTAATGCTTAACGTTATTTGGTTATTTGTGGCGCGTTTTTTATATTGTTTGTTGTCCTCTGGATATTTCATTTTTTTTCGGGCCCGTTTCCATGCGTCCTGTACAAAGGCAAAGTTCCCTCTTTGTTCGACATGTAGACAGACGAGTTCTTATAGTTATCGTTAGGTGTTGTTTTATATCTGTAACACCTATTATTTGGTTCGGCGTGCTTCAATGGGCGATATGCCGGAGAAACGGCACACGTGCGTGGCCCTCACCGAGTGGACATGCATTCCTGTGGTCGCGCTATTTGCATAACCGGCATTGTGTCACAGGCCAGTGTTTTACTGACGGAACGGCGGCCCCGCCCACTTCAACAATAGCACGTGCTGTGACATTTTCCGAATTCCTTCCGATCAGCTGATCGCTGAATGGGTCCATCAAGAAAAGCCGGGGTTTTTGCATGGCCACCGTCTCGGGAAGGCAGACGGGGGTTCGGCTCTGCCCGACAGTAGCCGACGCTTGGCGGGAACTAATGTTGGCGAGTAACCTAGTTCTTAGTTTAGCGGATCATTTTTTGAGATTTTGCACTGTATTGTCTCGCCATCGTCCCTCCATTACTTCGCTAAGCCGGAATGTCAGTGTGAAGTCCCAAATAATCGCAATTTTACCCGAATGTCCACCCCTCATTTAGCTCCGGTCCCCTTCAGTCTGGGATCGGTCTGGCGGGCATCTCAAAGCGGCGTAAAATAATAGCACGCTGGTAGTAAACACGCCCCCGGAAAGCTCACGTGGTCCGCCCTCGGCTGGCCGACGCTCCTATCTGATGCATTCCCGTTCGTGTGACGTCACCCGACTGGGTGGGATGGATTCTCCTGAGTCAGCAGCGCGGCCAGCCGGCCGGCGAGGGTCGGTGGCGGCGCGGCGCGGTCGGCCGGCCGGGCGGCAGACTGGCGTTGGCCCCGGGAGCTTCTCAGGAACACGTGGGGCTTTCTGAGAACTGGGAGCTCCCGGGTGGCATGCTGTTACAGTGAGCGAGTGTTGTACGGTGGTGTGTAGGCCGCTCGATGGTCTTTGTTGGGTGGCGGCGGGGAGGGGCGGGCAGGCGTATGTGGGGGACTGGTGTCCCAGGCGCACAGAAAGGATGGCGTGACTGTGAGCGCTACATGGGATATACGGGGAATAGTGGGTGGCTGAGTATGAGCTCATTTGTCTTTTACTATAACCCTTATTAACTCTAGCGTTTTGTGACTCATGCAGCGTTTGGGATAAGGCACGAGCGATTCCTGCGGTCCCGTGGGTTTATTTTAGCTAGAGCTAGACGCTAAGCCTTCCTGTGTCGAGGCTGCGTTGGGTGATTGACGCATACAGGACGGATACGCCGGCAAGTGCATGGAGCCAGCATGACATTTGTGTGGCCTGGACATTCCTGAGCTTGACCCTTTTCCTTTGGTCCTACTCTTCACTCTCAGGCCATAGGCGGCGAAACGGGGAGGGCACCGGGGCACCGTGCCCCCTTTGATTTGGGCATTTTAACATTAGTCCTTTGGGCGTTGCATGAAAAGAATGGGACCAAAAGCAGTGCCCCCCCCCTTAATTGAAGGTGTTCCGCCGCTACTGTCTCAGGCTATGTTGCTACTGCTGTTGATAAACTCCCTGCTGTGTTTGTTAGATAACTTTTCCAGTTCGTGACACGTGTAGCCTTACAGGTTAAATTCAGGACCGACGCTAAACATTATTTGACGTTGACCCGTATCGTTCTTTTACTAACCGTTGTGACGGTGCCTCTGACGACCCCGTCGTTGCCGTTACAGGAGCAGACGGCAGCAGAGTCGGCGGCGACGCTGCCCGAGCACGAGTCCTCTCCCCCGGGCGGACGGTCCGCCGCAGCGGCTGCTGCTGCAGCTGCAGCCACGGCCGCCGCCGCCGCCGGCCGACCGACACCCATGTCACCGGCAGGAGGTGAGATGATAGACCTAACTCCGAGCGATCTAGAGCGAACTTAGAGCGAGCGCCACGGGCAGACACGGTGCCGGTAAATGATAATCTGGGGACCAGTTACTGAACTCCGATCATGCTCCAGTGGTAGACACGGTGCCGGAAGACTGTTAGATCGGAGGACGAAATCCATTGGTCCTTGTATATCCGGAAAAGTGATGGTTGTAGAGGTATATTCTTGATTTGGTGTGCGTACAGTTAATCTTCAGGCGGGGTCATCTCTTTTTCACTTCTCAGATTGTTGGCTGAATTAGCTAGATTTGCAGTCTCGCCTTCCCTCCTAAGAGCGCGTGGCAGTGGCGGCCCTGACCGTGGCGTCTCAGAGGATAGGAGGGGCAGAGGGACCGGGCGCACACCCACACACTCACACCGGACGCGTGCCAACGGACCACTCGTGGGAGACACTGCCGCGTGGGGCCGGCGTTGTTGTGGGGAGGGGAGGGGTGATTAATGGCATCAGCTGATACTGCCGGGACGCGGCGCGGAAATGGAACTGATCCGACCGGCGCGGTGGGGCGACCAGTGGTGTGCGGGGGAGAGCAGTGGGGATGGGAGGAGGGGTGGACAGGTGGGCGTTTTAAAAGTGAAAAGGTGACCTCTCGTGGCGCGGCTTGATGATCGAAATAGCTAGTGTGCTTCCTTGTGCCACTGCGTGAGAATTGTGATCTATCGTCGTCTGACCGTGTGCCGTTTTGTGACCGTATGACCATGCGCTGCTCTGTTACTCTGTTGTTTGACCGTGTCACTCTAGTCTGACCGTGTGTGTCTCTTGTCTGACCGTGTACCTCAGTTGGCTGTCCGTGCGCCTCTCCCTTCTAACCGTATCTCTGACCGTGTGCCGCCGCTCCGTCCTAGGCTCGCGTCTATGTTCTCTGACCACGCTGCTGTTGCGTGTCGCCAGGCCAGCCGGTAGTGGGCGTGCCCCCTCGGCCGTCTGCTCGGCCCGACCCGTCACAACGCCTGGCACCGATGCCATATGTGCCTCCAGCGGCCGGCAAACCGGGGTATATGCCGCACCCGGGATACCGGGCACCGGGTCCGGACCCCGGATACCGACCGGCCGGACCCGAGCAACCCTACCGACCGCCGGGACACGACCCCGCCTACAGGCCGGGCCAGGATCCCGGATACCGACCCGGACAGGATCCTAACTACAGGCCGCCCGGGTCAGGCCCGGATCCCAACTACCGACCGCCCGGGTCCGCTCAGGATCCAAACTACAGGCCACCTGGTTCCGGCCCGGATCCCAACTATCGGCCGCCTGGGTCCGCTCAGGATCCTAACTACCGACCGCCAGGATCCGGGCAGGATCCAAGCTACCGCCCGCCTGGATCTGCGCAGGATCCCAACTACCGTCCTCCGGGATCCGAAGGCCAGGGTCCGCCGCCGCCGCCGCCCGGAGCGACACCCATGCCTTACGGAGGTCACGCCGGGATGTACGGGTCGCCGTACGGGCGTCCGGCCCCGGCGCCTCCGCCGGGAGCCCAGCACTACCCCAGCTATCCGGGCCAACAGGTGAGGTGGGGAGAGGGAGGGTGTCATGGGAAGACAGAGTGTGGGAGAGTGGTGCCGGGTGGGATAGGACCGGATGTGTGGTTTGAACACGTGGATGTGGTTGATGCTGTGGTGCTGACTTGCTGTTTTGGGTTTAATTGGATTTGGGATATGGACCTGTAGCGATATGATATAATGCGAATCAGTCCAATTGGATAGCTGAGTATTTTTTAGGATGGAGTGATTTAGCCCACATTGTGCACTGTACAGAGTAACTGTAGCTGCTGACGTATTTTTAGGCATTTCTTGAGCTCCATGCCCTGTGTTTCGCCTGTAACCGCCTCGTGCCGTTCTCTTCCTTGTTCTGATCGCCCTGTGTCTCCCCAGCCGTGGCCGGCGGGCGCCGCGCCGCCGTCCGCCGTCGGAAAGCCGGCGCCTGGCTCGCCGCTCTCGACGCACTACCTGCGCCACCAGATATCACAGAAGCTGCAGTACGGGCCCGGGCAGCCGCCGCGGCCTACCTCCCAGGGCAGTGACAGCGGCGGCGGGGGCGGAGAGGCGCCCGCTCCGCCGCCCCCGCCCCCGCCCGGCCCGGCTCTGATGGGCCCTGACGGGACACCGCTGGACGAGGGCTCGCAGCACAGCACGCTGTCCAACGCTAGCGCCAGTGAGTGTCCGAGCACCGCGGAAGGGCAGGGGCTGAGAGGGAAGGTCGCACGTGATATTGCTGGGTTAGGGTGTGTTCTAGATTGAAAGACTCCACGTGCCTCTAGTCAGACGTTAATCCCCTGCGTTTAGTAATTGGTTGACTTTGCATTTTCATCTTCCTGCACTGGTATTGCTCTCCCCTTTTTAGATGTGTTTCAAAGAATGCACCTTGTGTATCGTGGACCGATTCGTAACGTAAAGCGCTTAACAAGAATTGTCCCCGGTGCCTGCAGGCTGGGCTAGACTCAGATTATCTCTGACTATCCTTGTGTTAGGATTTTTGGACTGGCATTCCGGTGTATGATTGTAGGCACCAAGCATCCGTTCCTTCCCCCTGACTAAGCCACCTGTCTCCCCACTAGACTCTGAGGAGGCGTGTCGGTCACCGCGGCGGGACGGCATCGGCCAGGCGCCGCCGCCGCCCCCCTCCGGCCTCACGTTCCCGGGGCCGGGCCAGCGTCCGCCGTCAGTGCTGGGACAGGAGGAGGACCCCGCGGCGGCCGCCAGTCCGGGGGGTCCGCCGGCCGGGCCGCCAGGGCCGACCGCCGCATCGTGGACCAGGTCACCGGGATCGGTGAGTGGGGGAGCGGAGAGAAAGGTTCGAAAGGGTGGTGTGGGGAAACAGGAAGAAGGGAGGGCGGTTGAAAAGATGGCGAGAAGATCATGGGGCAGAGTACGGGACGGATACCGCCCCCCCCCCCGTCACAATGAGACGGAAATAAGGCGTGGACGAGAGCAGACATGTGCATGGATCCGAGTGATGGATCTATGATCTCAGTGGATCTCGAAGCAAAGTACAGGTTTAGATCTATGATCCCGCCGGATCCGGCGTGAAAAATACATTTTGGATCTATGATCTCATATGATCTGACGATTAATTAAGAACATGGATCTATGATCTGAGTGGATCCCACCATGCACCACATTTGAAACCATGTTTTAAAGGGTTTCTATGCCAATAAGTACCACAAAACTATGGATTATGACGTGCGATCACATAAAATCACTAAAACGGAACGCTTGTGAGTTGAAACAAGTGTTTTTGGGGATATATGTGTTGACAAAAAAATTAGTGAGGATCTATGATCTCACTGGATCTCAAGCAAAAAATGAGACTCGGATCTATGATCCATATGGATCTCTCGATAAATCACAGAGCTGAATCTATGATCCCGTTGGATCCGAGATCAGGATCCGTGGGATCAGATCCCAGATCCATTTTCTCGGATCCCTGCACATGTCTGGACGAGAGTGAAGAATCGTATTTTAGTTGGAGGGGATGGAAGAACAATTACATAGGTCGAGTGGGATAATTTTTTCCCGGGGGGGGGGGGGGGGGAGGGCTTGGGCCAGCTGGGTTGGGGGCGGTGGGAAAGCGCGGTTTGAGGGATGTATAGGGAGAGGGAGAGTGATAAGGTGGGAACTGAACTTACATGTGATTAGCATTGTGTTTTACTTGCCGACAGCTGTTGTTTCCTTGCCTGATTGCTGCGACTGATAACGTCGAGTTCCTGAAATTCAAGTTTCCCAATGTGTCCATCTGGAGGTCGCTTACCTATATGATCACAAGTTTGTCGATTTTCTCTCGGGCTGCTGATCTTTGTTCGTTTTGCTACAATGTCCATCAGAAACGTAGGCTTATCTCTGCGTCACTTGAATTGCAGCATGTGCGACATGCTTACTCATCTCCCAGGCCACGTCAATATTGACCACCTTGTTCTACAGGCTTCCAGCGATGCGCCGCCGAAGGAAACGTTCACTCCATCGTCAAAGGTGCTTATTTTCTACACACCTCTTCACCTAAATTAGCAGCTGTCTAATATTGGCTTATCCACTCTAAACGTTCTTACGCTTTTCACCTCAGTTTTGGAAGCGGCGCGTTGTAGCACAGCTTGGAATCGGAATGCATTTTCTCATTCGTCCAGCGGCGGTAGATTTTTGGATGAGGTGTCGATGTTCTGCTTAAGTTCGTGCCTTTGTAAAACGCTTTCTACAATTTGGTTCCCTTTGCTTGTTGGTGATAGGCTCGCTCGCTTCTGTAGTTACCTCCTGGCAGGAGTTGCTTTCGGGATTCAGGAGGCCGTGCTAGCCGTCCTTTTGACCTCGGGCCAAGATGAAGAGGCTGCTGCGCTTAATGCCTTTATTTCGGTTATCTTTCGAATGAGTCAAGGACTTGTGGTTCCTGTAGCTAGCCTTTAAAGGCCTCTTCTGTTGTGTTATAAGTTATGTGTGTGGGGGGGGGGGGAGGGGGGAAAAGTTCACATACGAATTGACATTTGTTAGACCAATTTGTACCGATTTTTACAAACCTAGTTGTGATGTGATAATACTTTCAGTCGCTTTCAATAAGTCTTGAGTCACTTTCAAAGCACACGAACCGGATTTCTTTGAATGTTCACTAACGCATACCTGACTTCAGGCTCACAAGTTCACAAAACATATGTTTGGTGTGTTCTTTTCGTACGAGTTTCACTCTGCCCGCCTACATAAACGTTGACGGGGAGGCCGGCGTCTGTCCTTTTCCCTCCCCTCCGTACCTGACGCCCCCCCCCCCTCCATCAACAGAAGGCAGAGAGTCTGGGCCGACTGTTTGAGATGGACGATTCGCCGGGCCGGCGGGAGTGGGTCAGCCGTCTGCTATCCTTCATGGAGGAGCGCGGCACGCCCATACTGCAGTGCCCCACCGTCTCCAAACAGCCGCTGGACCTGTTCAAGCTGTATCACTTCACCAAGGAGCGCGGCGGGTTTGTGGAGGTGAGTTGGATGGATGGTAGTGGACTGGGGAGATGTGCTGAAGCCGGTGGTCACTGGAATATGAAACGGTTTAGTTTATCGTGAACACCAATAATGGTTTTCATGTCAGCTATATCGCCGAATGGGGCATCTCATCTTTGATGGTCATTTTCTCTCAAGAGCTTCATCGCCTGACAGTCATTATGTCTTAATCCCTCTTAGGGTGAATTTTTATAACTATTGTTTGTAAGTCCGTTTCCTTCTCTTCTATAAACTGTATGATTAAATCGAACGCTTCCATCATTGCCTTCCCTCCTGTTCCTGTTCTCCCCTTGCTAACAACTCTCTAAACCCTCCGTCCCGCCAGGTGACTACCAACAAGACGTGGAAGGACGTGGCCACTGTGATGGGAATCGGCGGCAGCTCGAGCGGCGCCTACACGCTCCGCAAACACTACATGAAGCACCTGCTAGCGTTCGAGTGTCGCTTCGACCGCGGCGGCGCCGACCCCGCGCCCATCATCGCCAAGTTCGAGACCAAGAGCTCCAAAAAGGCCAAGCGCGCCTCGTCGCCCGGTAAGTGCCATTACGATGGGAGAGCCGAAGAGACGGATGGAATGACTTGTGAATGAAAATAGTGGACAGGGAGGTAGAGTGGGTGTCTGTACAATTGAGAAAATTATTGTTTGGTGTTATTACTTTTTGCCTTTATTCGATGTTCAGGTATGAGGTAACTATTATGCTGGTTTTGATAGCTGCTGAATATTGGTATGGGTTTGCCCATTCGTTGTGGAAATCTGATATGCTTCTTTTCACCGATCTTATGCTGACACTGCCGAGGACAGTTTTAACACATGTCGTTCTCCTCTCCCCCCATTCGAGCAGGTCCCCAGGACAGTTTCTCCAACTCTGGGTCCTTGGACGGTTTCCCGGGCGGCTATCCTCCCGGCTACCCGCGGCCCGAGTTCAACGGCAACGGACCAGCTGTACCGGGGCAGGGTAAGTGAGGGCCAACACCAGCTGCTTTGAGAATTCGACGGGAGCATTTGGGTTCTGATTCGGTTGAGGTTGGTACTTTTGAGGCATTATTTTCTTATTTAGTGCTTTTTCTTCAACTAATTAGTCTAGGAACTGCAACGGGGATTCAGTTGTGGCTGACACACTCATGTGGTACAATGTTATAATAGGAGCTGGCTTCAAAGTATTTGTGGGCTTTTGGTTGTTAACCCGCGGCCCACTGGAGGGGGGGGGGGGCTATTTATAGCCCCCCCTCCCGTTTTTCTGCAATAACTTCCAAACCGCTTGACGTATCGACGCCAAACTTTCAGTACCTTTGGCTGCATCAATTTGACACCTTGTGTCAAAATTTGAACTTCGTAGCTACCATAGGTCGGCCGGAAATGACGTCAGAGTGACGTCATGTTCGGCCGATTTCGACGCAAAACATCGAACCACTGCAATCGCTCCCAAGGGCTCAGTTTTTAAGCTAGATCCAATTTCTTTGCATGAGACGACTCAGAATAGACTGCGCTATCAAACTGCTATCTGGGATTTTCGAAATTTTGAAAATTTTGAAAATTTTATATAATAAAATTCTAAATTTACATTTTTACATTTTTTTTCAAAAAGTTATTGACTTTTCGAAAAAAACGGAATATATATGATAGAATGCGTTATTATGACTAACTCTAGCAAGTTTCAGCTAAATATCTTCAAAAATGGCCAAGTTATACGCATTATTGCAAAAAATTCACAATTATTAATTTTTCAAATCAATTTTTCACCACGTATTTGACATCGTACGCCAATATAAATAGCACCATCGTGTTCCTGAGCTCAAACTGCATCCAATAGACACCTTTTCTGTTGAAAAATTATAACTTCAAAATTTGACCTTTTTTGACCTGAAAGTGACCTGACCTAAGCTAAATTCGACTCAAAATGACCTCGAATGACACAGACGACATCAAATTCGAAATCTTTGGCCTAAATGGACCATAAAACATGTGTCACGTGACCGACGCATGATATAATATTTTCGTGACCTGTGATGACCTGACCTTGACCTGAAAATCAAAGTACAAGTTTGGTACCCTCAGGATATCCAGAGCATCTGTTCACGAGTGTGTGAACCAAAAATGAGCCTGATCTGACTTGTAGGACGGCGGCCAGAGCCCAAAACGTGAGCAAGCCAAAATACTAATAATTTTTACTTTGACCTGACCTGTGACGTCATCGGTGACCTTGAGGTCAATGAAATTAGGTTTCGCTCGACAGTTTTTCCGGGGCTATCAGACGCCGTTTGAATTTTGACGATCGGCCCAGTAGTTTCGGAGTTAGGAGGGGGGGGGGGGGGCTATGAATAGCCCCCCCCCCCCCAGTAGGCGTGTTATACGCAGACCCCAGTGGGGCGCGGGTTAACTTTCGCTCCCATTCATAACGAATGTTGTTATACTTTTGTAAAGCCAAGTAGGCTGGAGGCACTGAATTCGTTATTGTCTCGTTACATGGCCCTGAATGACTGTTTAGCGCCAAAGCGCTTATAAAAGAATTAGTCATAGTGTTCAATGTTCTCCTTATGATCCTAGTCGCGCCCCGCCGGCCCGCTCTGTGCTCTAAGACCATTGTTTCATATTCGTCAGGTTACCCTGGCCACGGCTACCCCGGCCAGCAGCCGCCTCAGCCCGGGTACGGACAGTACATGCCGGGAGGCCCGCCGCGGCCTCCGGGCGCCCCGCCTCCGGGCCAGGAGTACCCGCCACACTCCCAGCACGGGCAGCACCCCCAGCAGCATCCGCAGCAGCATCCGCAACATCCACAGCAGCAGCAGCAGCAGTATATGCAACAGTACCCCAACAGGTGAGCGAGTGTTGGATGGTGGCTGAAGCTTGACAGAACAGTAGGCGTTGACCGGAGTACTTCCACAGTTGGTTGGAAGCAGCTGCTGCCATGTTATGACAACTTTTTTAACGCGTTCCAGTGGCCCTGTTCTTGGATAGATTTTTGGTCAGGGCACGCCCATCATTCATCTGTTTGTGTTTGGTGGATAGGCCACCGCGAGTTGTCTATCTTGTTCAATGTCTCCGTGTTGCGCGGCGTTTCTGGAAATCCCGCGGCGTGCTTTCGTCTGATGACCTTGCGCCCCCTCCCCCAGGAGTTACCCGGGCGGCGCGCCTCCGGCCGGCCCGCCTGGCGCCGAGTACCGGTACCCCGGGCCTCCTCCGGGACCGACTACCTACGGCGCGCCGCCGCGGCCGCCGCACTACCCGGGGGGCGGCCCGGCGGCTCCGCGCACCCCGCCGCCCCCGCCACAGACGGCCGGCGGCGGCAGCCCGGCCGCCACGCCGCCCCCGCCCGGCTACGGCCCGCCGCCCGGAGGAGAGGGCGGCTACCCGCCGGCCACCTCCTCAGCCGCGCCGGCCGCCGGCCCGCCAGGACCCTACACGCCGGTTAGTGGAGGAGAGGGAGGCTGGGTGCATGGGGCTGTGTGATATACGTCTGCCAACCGGCTTCTAGTCCGCTAGTGTGTGTGTGTGTGTGTGTGTCATTTAGTTTTTTTTGTTTTTTTTTTTTTGTTTTATAGCTTTTTATTGCCAGCCTTGACTGCGTGCTTTTTGAGTTATTTTATGCTTACTTATTTTTGCTTCCCACGACATTGTTTTGCTTTGCACGTGTGTGATGTAAATAGTGCCTCCGTGGCGCGTCTGCTTGGCTCCCCGTGTACCGTCTGGTCACGCGGTATGGCCCCGCTGCCCCCGTAGGCTCGGCCGGGCGTCAGTGCCGCCCCGCAGTCTCAGCTGGCCAAGCAGCTGTCGGCTCCTCCCGGCCAAAGCGTGCGACCCCCGCCGCCGGTACGTACCGTGCCACAGGGCGGTGGACGTCCCCGCCACCCAGCGCGCTCGCAGGCGCTAGCCTGCAGCTCACAGCCATGCCTGCTGCTCACTCAGCTTTGTCCGCTTGGCTGTGCATTATTTATGCTTTGTATTTGTATGATATGCTGCTTTGCTTATATTTTGCACTTATGTAGCTCAATTTCTTACTAATTTGTTATTTGTCCATGCCTCAGTTTCATAGTTTTGTCAATTTTAGCATCAAACCATTATTTTTGCAATTTTTTTAAACATTCAGATCATTTTATATCACTTTTCGTTTTCCGCCATATTTTGTTCCTGTTCCGTTCGCTCACGGTCTGCACGCACCCGCGGTGCGGCGGCTGTCTCCTGTAGATGATGGGCGCTGTGTCGAAACCGACGGGCGCCGCGTCGTCTCCGACGCTGTGTCGTCAGCTGGCGGCGCCGCCGGCCGCGCTCGTCTCCCCGGCCGCCCAGCAGCTGGGCGTCGCCCGGCACGGCGTTGTGAGTGAGGGTCTGATGGGCAGGGGAAGAAACCGCTGGGAGACTTTGCAGGAGAGGAATCCGGAGATGAAGCGATATTTAACATGGGATTGTCTCTAGGGAACTGACTAGATGGTGAAAAAGGAAGTTTTTTATTATTCTGAGGGATTGCCACAATTGTCTTTATCATCGGGACACTATTATGTTTTGGGTGCATGCGCAACAGCCGGTGTATTCTGGCACGAGTTTGCGCGTCAAGCCATCACTGTTTCATCGTTCTCGTGTTCCATTGGCGAGCTCAATTCTTTTTAGCCCGCCGGTCCTGACCTCCCTCACCTCTGCGCCCCCAGCCGTACAGCCACGCCCCGGCGTCGGTATCCGGTGGTCCACCGCGGCCCTACAGTCCCAGTGCGGCTCCGCCTCCGCCTCCGCCGGGGGCTCTGCCGGTGCCGGGCGCAGGCCGGCCCGGCCAGCCGCCCGTCTCGGCGCCCGGCGCCGCCGTGCCCTACAGCCAGCACCAGGCGCAGATGGCACAGCAGCAGCATCAGCAGCATCCACAGCAGCACCAGCAGCATCCACAGCAACATCAGCAGCATCCGCAGCAGCAGCAGCAACAACAGCCTTACGGTAGGTGGATGATTGTGGGTGGATGTAAACAGAGTGGATTGACGGACATGATGGATGGTGGTCAGGTGGCCCATACCGACTCGGTGTCACGAGTCTTGTATTTGCTTCGCATGTCTGGACATTGTTCGGTGCATCCGTTGTGCTTCCGTTCATTTGTGTCTGAATCCGGTTTTCGTATATCTTTATGTATCACAAGGTGAGGTTCTGATGCGACAAAATGTATGTGTCTGCCCCTGATGCGCCCCATTGTGTCTATGTCTTGCCAATTGTGTTTGTACGTGTAAGTGTTGCGTCACTACTTCTATGCGAGATATGCGAGATGCACCTCTGTATGTTCATGCAAAACTCTTCCCTGTGTCCAACCTGCCTAATTATTCACATCTGTCTGTCTTTCGGTCTGCTTCAGGCGCGTGGCGTGGCGGTCAGTACAGCCAGTGGCCGCCGCGGTACCCGGCCCCTGGCCAGTGGGGCGGCACCACCACCTCGCCGGCCCCACCCGGCGCCAGACCGGCCGGCCGGCCCGACAGACCCGGCGTGACGGCCAAGGTGAGAGACGCCTGAGGCAGTGGGACAAGCGTGTGGTGTTACAGGGGAATTATTGAGCTAGAGTTGGCTATGGGTTATTGTGCTGGATTTTCCGAACGGACTTCATGATTTTGTTGATAATTCAAGATAACTTTTTATGCACTGTCGAACGAGATGCATTATGCATCTCTTTCTGTTTTGCGTAAATTCAGGTGACGAACATGACTTGCATCATTTGTTCGCTTGCTGTTTGTAGGCTTTCAGGTCCATTTTCTCCAAGCATTGTGCTGTTGAACCATATCGACCTCACCCCGCCTGGCCGACCCACCACTGACTCGCGTTTCGTCCCCCGTCAGCCGATGCCTGCCTCGTACCTGCGGCCCACGTTCCCGCCTGACAGTGTGGAGGCCACGCTACCCGTCCTGGCGCGGCGGCGGCGCGGCACACGCGCGGACGTCGGCCCCGTGGACGGCTGGCGGCTGACGATGGCACTGCGCTCCGGCCAGCTGGCCGAGAGCCGCTGGGCGCTAGACGTGCTGCAGATCCTGTCCTTCGACGACGCTTCCGTGTCGTGGCTGGGCCTGGCTCGCATGCCCGGTCTGCTGGCGGCGCTGCTGCAGCACTTCCGTCAGTCGTTGGCGGCCATGTTCTCGCGGCGCGCTGCCGGAGAGTGGTTCGAGGGAGGCGCTGAGGGGGAGCCGGAGCCGGACCTGGGTGTCTGCCGGCCGGCGGACACCTCGGACAGCGAGAAGGTGCTGCACGGCGCCGACTACACGCGAGTGTCCCGTCTGGGTAGGGCCGTGGAGCTGGCCGACTGTTCGGAGACGATCCTGGTGTCGCCTCGCCGGCGCGCCTGGGAGGCCGACTCTGCCGACGCTGACGGCGGCTGGGACCACGTCCTGACGCACGTGAAAGTTGAGAGCGGCCGGATACCGTTCCAGCGGCGGCTGGTGGACGGACGAATCAAGGAGGAGCCCGCAGACGAGCCGATGGAAGACGCCCCGAAGGTGAACGGCCAGGCACCGCTGGATGAGCGGCTGGCCGGCTTCGAGGAGCCTGGTTTCTTCCTCAGTCGGTTGAGACGTGTGGCTCCTCCGGCGGACTGTGGGGAAGGCGTAAAACCGAGTGCGGACGACAATGTTAAGTCCAGTGCGGAAGGGGACGTAAAACCTGGTGGGGACAGTGATCAGGACGCAAAGCCGAATGCGGACGGTGTGAAAAGTGATGCAAAGCCCAGTGCGAACGATGCGAAGGGGGACGCGTGCGATGCGAGTGTAAAACAGGAGGCAATGGATGTGGACGTTAAACTGGAGCCAGGCGAGCCGCCGGTGAAGGAGGGTGAGTCGGCTGTGAAGGCTGAGCCCGTTCCGGCGGAGGAAGGGAAGCCGGTCGCTCTGCCGAATGGCGCAGTGTCTCCTCCCGCGCCGGTGCCCAGCGGGATCCTTCCGCGCGGCTCGCTGAAGCGGCCACCACCCGACGAGGAGGACGAGTGCCAGCAGCGGGACGAATCGAGCCTGTTCCTGACGTCGGAGACCCAGGAGAGCGTGGCCACTCGCTGTCTAGCTGCCAGCACCATCTTACGGAACCTGTCCTTCGTCCCGGGCAACGAGGCGGAGCTGGCGACCGAGCCGGTTCTGGTGCTGCTCGGCGACCTGCTGCAGCTGCACCACCGGCACCCGCCGCGCGCGGCCGCGCACACAAACTACGACCGCGACGAGGATGCCGACCAGCGCGAGCCGTGCCCGGCTTTCGGCGGCGACGACTGGTGGGCCGACTTCCTTCCGGCGCTGCACGAGCACGCGCTGGTGACGCTCACCAATATCGGCGGCCATGTGCGACTGGGCGGGCACGACGAGGCCGTGGTGCGGCCCGTGCTGGACGGTCTGCTGCACTGGGTGCAGTGCCGCTCCTCGTATGCGGCCGACCCGCTGCCCGTCAGCGGCGCCGCGCTGCCGGCCGCCCGGTTGGCGCTCGAGGCGCTCTGCCGGCTCTGTGTGCACGCGGACAATGTGGATCTGCTGCTGGCCACGCCGCCCGGCTGGCGACTGGAGCGTGTCTGTCGGCTGGCGGCCGGCTGGGTGGCTGCCGAGGGGGACCAGGTGCGCAGGGAGATGGCGCTCACTCTGCTGCACGCTCTTGCCGCAGTGGACGAGCGGGTGGGGCGCGTGCTAGCCGCCGAGACAGACCTGACCGCCACGCTGGTGCGGTTCGTGGAGGCGGCCGAACAGAGTGCCATGAGCGTGGCCAATTCGCAGGGCGTGAATGCGCTGCGGGAGAACCCGGACCTGATGGGCACCAGTCTGGACCTGCTGGGCCGCGCCGCGGGTCTGCTGGTCAGCCTGGCGCCGCTGGCCGAGGCGCGGCCGGCGCTGGTGCGCTGCGAGGCGCGCCTGCTGGCGCTGGTTACGTCGCAGATCCTGGACCAGCGGGTGGCCGCGCAGCTGTCGCGGGTGCTCTATACGGTAGCCCTGCCGGCCGGCGAGCGGGGAGTGTAGCGCGCGCTGTGATCGATCGGGGCGGCCCGAACTATTGTTCATCGCTCCCTGCCGCATTCATACTGTACATGTCCAAAGCGCTCTGGGTTCAGCTCCGATGAATTCCTGAATAAATGTTCATCTGTTGGTAGTGCCCAGCTGTTTTGTCAATCGTGTTCGGTTATCCATTCTTATTTGGTGAGGTGTTTGGCATTTGGTGCAACCCGTCTCAGCAGGCAACTTAGCAGCCTGTTTCTAATGTTTTGAGTGATTTTTACTTTGGGTTTTTTAGTTTTGGCCATGTCAGTTAGATCAAAGATGCTTATATATGACGATACTCCATCGCCAATGCGTGGATGCATATTACATGATAATTTGCCGCATTTGAGAGGAGCTGTGGGCCGCATCCTGCTTCAGCCAATGCACCTTGCGCGTTTTTGCTTCATGTCGTCTGAATGGAAGCTTAGACGGTTTCAGATTATGGCAAGAATATTTGGAATTTCATAGAATTGGAGGCGTTGCTTGCATGACCGAGACACCTTCGAAAAATCTGAAAGGCATGTTGAAAAATAAGCCGTCCTTCATTCCTCCCATACCAGAGCGCCTCAAATTCGAAACAAGCAAAATCAAGGCAAACGGAATTTCGACACACAATACTACTCGCCTTCAGGTAATTCGAAATTCCGGTAAAATTGTAGAATAATTGATCCAGTGCAATTAGCTGCATGGCTTAACTTTTGCGTACGACGAAGGATTTGGAATCACTTTCCTTCGATATGGAAACAACATTTGGAGAGTAAGTGGCGCTTTTGCTGCGATTGCGCAAATTTGTGTACTTGTTTGCTGCGTGGGTGGTTAGAAGCAAGGCTATAGAACTCCGTTAGAAGGTTAGAAGGGTTAGAGCTTGGGTTAGAGGCAATTTCGTCGTTTTTTCAGCGCTAAGGTAGTATTGGCTGAGCCGCAGTCAACCAAAAAAGGAGCTAAAGGGAGAGAAGCGTTTGCACAGGGGCCCTCTGCAGTGCGTCGGCAATCGCAGCGACTGTAATTCTACCGGTCGTTTTTGTCAATAAATTTCAAAAATTCGAATTTTTCTGTAAAAAATTACATGTCATGGATAAAAGGAAAACTTTGTCACCATTGGATTCCTCGCACCTCGCACCATTGCGCGTCGAATCCCGACTGGAAAAAATGCACGCTTTCGTCGAGAACTCGGGCGTAGTTGGGCGTTTGCGCCGAAAATTTTCGGCGTACTTCGGCGTTAAATCGACGGCTTGCGCCGAAATTTTCGGCGTACTTCGGCGTAAATCGCGAAAAAAACCGTCAGGGGGTGGCACCAACCCCCCTCGGCCGGCAAGGATTAAATGTCTTTGGGAGTTAAACATCTTAAATATCACTTATCTTGTCTCGTGTTCGTCTCAGGGTATTTAAGTCATGTTCAGTGAACCTGATTGTGACTCTCCCACGGCGGGAACAGTTCATCGGTCGAGAGTGAGGTTATGGATTGTCGGATTCCCTAGTTCAGATAACGTATGCTATCATGTGCATATTGACCGTTGTGATTCCTGTATTTCCGGCGTGTGGTTTGCGAGCGGACGCTGGCAATCGGTCCCGCGTGGCCTGGTTGTGGTATCTGCCCGATCCCATCGGCCGTGCTTGCACCACGCCTGTTGAAGGCCCCGTCAGGCGTCAGTCACCGGTTGGGCACTACTGCTGATCAGAGCCGGGCAACAAAATAAAGGTTACATTACAATTATGGAACATGCCAGTGAGTTTGTGAGTCAGGAGATTTTGTGATAGCGAACGCTGGTGCTCGGTCCCGCATGGCCTGCTGATGTCTATTGTCTGCCCGATCCCGTCGACCGTGCCAACAACCGTCTGTAGACAGTAGTCACTGGAAGACAGCCACACACACACACCAGCCCCCCCTCGACGAAAAGTGCGTGGCTACAGCCTGCAGCCATCAGTAAACCTTGAAAATTTTCGGCGCATGAAGCATGGCTTGGTAAAATAATTTCGGCGCATAAACCCTTGCGCCGAAATTTCGGCGCATCACCTCCGCCGAGAACTTCAGCGTAGTGGAGGCATTTTTTCCAGTCGGGCCGGTCGAATGATATGTAAAACGAGTGAGTAACGAGTAACGACTAATCGGAAAGGCAAGATTTAACACAAAAGTTGATTTTGCCCCCCACCCCAACCAAAAACCTCTGGCAACGTCTATGTATTTCACTCAGGACTAGGTCTGTGCATGAAATACACTTAAGGACACCTGAGTACAACTGAGTACAAAAACTGACAACATGCTGATAAAAAACATTAATTGAACAGAACTTTGGTTCTTGTTTTATCGTCAGACCATATTAATATGAGATCATAGATACAGAGCTCTGTTCGCACCCGGTTTATTTATCAGCAGGCTGCGACCATGCTGCTGCTTCTTGGCTCCTTATTGGTCAAATTCAAGTGGTCTATTCGTTAGACCAATGAGAGCAGAGAGGCCAAGCCGCGCCAGCAATAGCTTCCTTATATGGGGAAGACCGACAGCACGCTGATATAAAAATAGCAACCGAACAGGGCCCAGGATATATTTTCCATGTGGGACCCAGATGTACAGCTCCTAACTTGTCATTTGCTTTGAGATCCATTGAAATCATAGATCCTTCACCAAGATCCATCAACATTTTCTGCTACAAAGTAGATAGGCATGCGCGCCATTTCGATATTCTGTATTCGGAATTCAGTGAATGTTGGACATATCTAGTCCTGCGGACGAGACAGAAACAATGTTACAGAGGGAAGGCACTGCATACATGTCTATCTCCCCCCAGTCTTTGCCGGCCGGGAACAAAGACTTACATAGATTGGCATAGATTGAAGGGTGCCGTAACGAAACGACGCCGAAAGGCCAAACGACGGGTCGCATTCACGGGAGCGCGAACAAACAAATAGCCCAGGGGGCAACAAAACACAGCTTCTAGGCAACCAGAACGAGTGGACCGGCTGGAAAACGAGCCGGGACAACGATCAAACACTAAACGCGGAACATATCCGAACATCGCAAACAACTGCCGAGTTTGACAATGATAGGGAGTCAGTGGCACAGTCAGCGCGTGAAATTGGGGTCGCGATAGCGGATCGGCATTTGGCGCGGGCGATCACTGCGACGGGGACGGTCGGGTTCAGTATCTCTCAGCGGCTGCGAGCCTGGCGCGGCAGGGGGCGGCATGGCCGGCGGCGACGGCGTGGCATGACCGGGCGACAACGCATGCGGGGACACGCGATGTGGTGGTGAAGTCGACATGGACGGTGACGGCGTCACACACTGTGGGGACACAAGGGGCGGCGACGCATCTCGCTCGCGCGGGGATAACACCACAGGCGGCGATGGCGCGGGTGGACGCGGTGTCGGGGGCCTGCCACGGGGCGCCCGCGGCGGCGTCGCCGGCATCTGGCCGACCACTGGAGTCGGAGAGCCGGGGGGTTGCGCCGCAGGTGGAGAAGTGGGTGGCGTCAGTCCAGAGTTCGCGTGCGACTGTGACACGCGTGTTGGATGTCGGCGGAAGTCGTCGAGCAGTTCGTCCATTCGGGTGTGCTGACGACGAGCCGGAACAACCGGAGTGTATTTGCGCAGGAACTGCCTGTTGCGCAATGTCATTCGGCCGCTGCCGTCGACCCGGACCATGTACTGGTTATGTTGTCGCACCTCCACGACGCGGCCAGTTTTGTCCCACTTCCTGGGATATCTTCCGATTTGGTTTTGGAGGCGGACGGCATCACCGACGGTCAGTGGAGGTAGTCGCCTCGTATGTGCGGACCAGCGTTCGTGGTCCCGCATGTGGCGGTTCCGGAGTGCCTCCTCACGAGCACTCAGGGTTTCGCGCCACGTGGGATGAGGACGGTACTGACCGGGGGGTATCGGGATGAAGTCTCGCACCGGACGACCGAACACGCATTGGGCCGGCGACAGCCCTGTCGTGGGGTCGGGAGTGTTGCGGTAGTTCAGCATGGCGCGCTGGAAGCGTCGCACGTTCAGTTCCCCGTTGTCACCTGTGTTGCCTTCGATCATGCGTTTGACGGTTTTGACGCCAACCTCAGCGCGACAGTTCGCGTGTGGGAATGCCACAGAGGAGCGGCGGTGACGAACACCGTAGTCGGCCAGAAACGCCTGTGTCTCGTGGGCAGTGAACTCCGGCCCGCCATCGCTCGTCAGCTCCTCAGCGATGCCAAATGTGCTGAAGACGCGGTAGAGACAGTCTCGGAGGCCTGCGCTGCCATCTTGTGCTCTCTCAACGATTGGCCAGTTAGAATAACGATCAACGATGACGAGGTACGTACGGCCGCAGTGTGTAAAGTAGTCCGCGCATAGTTGCTGGAACGGGTACTCTGGGTAACTGATGTCCTCAGGTGGGGCCCATGGCTGCGATGGGGCGTTCCGGTTGCACGTGTGGCATCGTTCACGGGCGCGCCGAATAGCTGACGTGATGCCGGGCCAGTACACGCTTACGGCCGCGCGCGCGAGCATCATGCCGATCCCTTGGTGCGCACCGTGGAGACTCTGGAGCACCTCCTCGCGGAGGCTGGGTGGGATGACGATTCGCTGATCATACAGGATGATGCCGTCGCTGGTGTATAGGCCATCACGGAGCGAATGATACTCTCGGAGCTCCTCAGGCATCTCGTGGCGGTGGGCTGGTAGCCCTCCCTCGATCAGTTCGAGAAGTCGCATCATCGACGGATCGCCTGCCGTTGCGTCCCTCACGCGGTCCCAGGTGACAGACCGGATCGTGGTGATGGCGGCTGCCGCTACCTCGCCAGCATCGTCGACGGTGACGTCGTCGGAGAGGCTTATGCCGATGGGAGCGCCGGTTGGGTACCGGGACGCGATGTCGGGAACGCGGTTCTTGACTCCGGGGAGATAGCTGATGTCGAATCTGAACCGGAGGGTCTTTTCCTTGAGATTACGGAGACGGGCGTTGGGCAGGTCGACCAGTGATCGGTCCCCGAAAATCTTCACGAGGGGTTTGTGGTCAACAACGACCGTGAGGTCGCTGCAGCCGAGCACGAAGAAGCGCGTTTTCTCGAGGGCGTCGGCCACTGCCAGCGCCTCGCCCTCGACCGGGGCGTACCGAGATTCAGCGCCGGATGTAAAGCGGCTT